TTCTGTGACCAAGTTGCAACAATATAGGAATATTAAGAGAATCTCCAACTTGTTTCAAGCACATGAGGTTACAATTCAGAGCAGGGTTGGTGGCCCTGAAATTGTGTTTGGGCTCTGATGTTAGGAGGAAAGCTGTAAAATAAAATGGCTCAGATTTTATTCAAAGCTTTACTCAAAAATTTCAAAAGCACAATACATGATCAAATTTCAATGAGAAAAGCATTCAAAAAATGCTTTGGATTTGGAGCATGTGTTGAAGAAGGAAGAAAAGGTTCCTGAATCAATTAATTAATTCCATATATGCAATGATTATTAAAAGATTTTATTTCTAAAAAAATTATTACATTATTGATAAATTATTATAATAAATATTTTAATATATAATATTATATATGTTAAAAATCCACATTTAGTGATAATTTTTTTAATACAAATTTATAAACCATTAATTTTCCTTATTAATTTATATACTTCATATTCTTCCAACAAATGAACATGCTTATTATTATTTATAAGATCCAAATTATATCCATAAGTATTAGGGTAATAATCATAATAATAATAATAACAATAAGGTTCATTATTAATACTATTAAATAGTCGTAAATCATTAAAACTTATAGATGTTTCATGAAATCTTATATTACTTATAGTATGATCATAATTTTGACTATGATTATATATTGCATGATCAGGTATTTTAACTCTGCTTAATATTGAATTATTTAGTTTATTTTCGTCAATCTTAAAAATGAAACTTTGATTAGTTTTAATACAATATTCTTCATCTGGAGACTTTCCTTTTACATTCCAACATACAGGATTATAACCACCTACTAATTCACCTGTTTCTTTAATTTTCATTAACACTACAGTTTGTTTAATGTTGTAACATTTCTCCTCAAAAACTTTCCTTGAAAAGCCATCTTGAGATCCACAAATAATTAATTTAAAATCATATAATATTTTATTTTCATTGTTATTTTGGTTAATCCAACCAGAAATTAAAGATTTTGAGTCTGAATTTAATAACTTTCCTTTTGTTCTTGGACTTCTTTGAAGAACAAATCTGGGTTGCCATTTATCAGTAAAATAATATTGAGCAAGTTCATTATATATATTTTTATCAAAAATTTTTCTATAAGGGTTGACTTTCTCATAGAAGTTCTCTCCAGATATTTCATTGAACCTTATTAATGGAATAATGTCACCTAATATAATTTTCAACTCTTCAAAATCATCCTGATTCCATTCTGAAATATTTTTTGCTAATGCTTTATTTTGTCCTATTCCCCATTGAATGACATAATTCCAGATGTCAATCTCATCAAAATATAAATTATCTCTTTCCAATATAGAAACAAGCATTGATTTTTTAATTGTTGAAATATCATCAGACTGTAAAATTGGTTCTGGATCTTCACAAATTAATTTATTGCAAAAATCTTCAAGTAAGTTGAACAATTGATGTTTTAATGATAATTTATAAACATAATTTAAATTTTGGCAAAGCCATTCATTTTTTTCTTTGATTAAATAATTTTGTAAATCATCAATTAATTCATTAAAGTTTAATTCATCACATGCTTCAAGAAGCTCTAAAATTTCATTTACATCCAGGCTATCTATATTAATAATTCCATTGTACATGTAACTTTTAAAAATATAAATGGTATGAAAAAAAGTTAATTTAAATAAATTATTGTAATTATTAATATTAATAAAAAAAAAATTCAAATTGCTTAAATAAACTTACATTAAAAGAATTTCAAAAACTCTTGGGGAAATATTTTCTTTTTCAAATAAAATGTTACCATTATCTGATTTTTTAATCCATTTATTGGATAAAGCTGTTCTAAAATATAAAGACCTTGCTTTTAAGATTATGGAATGGGCTCTAAAAATTTTAACATCTTCCTCTTCCACTCCAACTTTGATTTCTACATCATAATGATCTGAATTATTCAACAAATTTGAAAAATCATTTACTAGCTTATTAAAATATTTTAATGGTAGAGCATTATTAATGTTAAGGTTGTTAAATAAGGGTATGGTAGTTTCCAAGGATGAGAAACAGTTATTATTAGACATTTTTTGAAGAATTGTTATTTTTTTTCAAATTTTTGTGTTAAATTAAATGGATATAATAGGAATAAATAAAGGCACGTGATTTGAAAATCCACCAAACAGCTTTCGTTAATATGATCAAGCACTTTAATTTGGCGGTCACAACAGAGTTTTCCCAGTCCTATTATGAATTACAATAAATTCCTGCAGATATGTTTTTACCTTATTGTTTCAATAATTTCATTAGCACCATGTTTTAAATGCAGTAGAAAATAGCTGTGAAGATGAAGAAGTGAAAACACTTGAAATTGAAAAGTCAAGTCAAAAGACCATTTATTATATCTGAATCAACTTTGACTGCTACTTCTTTTATAACTTCTTCGGGAACTTGCCTAATTCATCTTGTGGTTGATTGTGAAGATACAAATCAAGTTAAAAACACTATTGATAAAAATCATTTAAATGAAGACAATTGATTATCTATTTATATTTATATATTAACATGAATTCAATTTTTTATTTATCCAGTGGTGAAGAAGACAACAATTATCATGTCACATATTCATGAAAGTTGGCGATACTTTTGAAATTGGCACAATTATGCTAGATACTATTGAAAGAGTAGTCTAAAGATGGTCATTTATATATACTTGAATAATATTTCCAATTGTAAGGAAAGGCGAAAATGTTTCATCAAGAAGGAAAAGGCTTATTGATTGTCATATGGGTTAAAAATAGAAAAATATTAGCTGACATCAAGTAATTCAGGAAAAAAATAATAAAAAACTGAGAAATTATTAAATTATCATAATGCTAGAACCTGTCATATTTAATTATTATTGATTGTATTTGTACAATCAATCAAATTCAAACCGATTAATATATACTATCTGGTATATAATAAAAAATTATGCACAGAATAAGTAGTGAGTAATAATAATATTGTTACCGGAATTAGACTTAGACGCAGATATTTTGGCCGAATCTCTTAATTCCGGGATAATTTAATTTTTATTTTAACTGTTAATTATTTTTTTTTATATATTTTCTATTATTAACTTGTATAATTTAAATTATTTATTTTATTATTATCGTTTATATCCGTGTTACGCTTCGTATTAGTATTAGTATATATTAATTAATTCGTAACACGATAATATTTATTAAATTATTTAATTATTAGTGACGATGTACCCATGAACCCAAACGGGCGTGCGAACCCATATAGACTCCAGAACTCAAATGGGCCTATAATCAATTAACATGTATATAAAGAACTCGAATTTGACCTACTGTAAAGTAACTTTCTAACAAGTTAATTAGTTTCGACTAAGAAAACTAAATAAATAAAATAGTAATATTTTATTTAAACAAAACTATTATCTTCCTTAACCAAAATTATTCGCTAATAACCAAATCAATTCGTTGATAACCTATTTATTCTGATCTACACAAATACAAAAATAATTGTTATCACCCATTAAAACACGCTCACCAAAATTTAATCGGTGACAATAAATACTATCTATCCTGTACATAAATTTATCTATAAACATATTTTATTTTTAAACATAATATTAATTTAAAGTCTGGCTTTATTCAAATCAAATTTTTTGAATTTAAGTGGTGATTTGTAATCAAATCATTTTAAAATCTGACAAAGTAAAATGATGGATAAATTGTATAACATATAATTTAAATCATCATCATGACAGACTAAAAAATTCCAAATGAGAACAATTATATATTTTGGCAATATTTATGCTTTTAATAAAAAATGTTTTTCAGGTTCTGAAATATATGCATACAGTCAAACTTCGTTTCATTTAAAGTTCACTATACCAAAGTCACTAATCACACATTTCAACAATTCTATATGTTTTTATATGTTTTTAAAAATTAGTAGTAAATATGAATTTAATTATAATTCCTTAAATGAGAAAATTTCACAATTTTGCTTAGATATTCGCAGAATTAAAATGAGATACAAAATGTTCAAAAAATCTTTATTCTAGATGGAGCTGGAGTTCCTATTTGTAATACAAAATCTTATTTATTCACTTTATTTGAATCATTTGAATCATTCATTTTGTTTGTTTTGTTTTGTTTTATTTGAATAGAAACTCTAGTTAAGCAGACTTGAGTTAAAACTTGAATTTACAAGTTCAAGCTGTGTTCAAGAAAATATGTCCTTAAACTGTTTTTTAGGCAATGTTACCTATAACATCAAAACTCAAGCTAAGTCAAGTTGAGCTGAATGTTTGGTTCAGATTGTTCAGAACTTTAGGCTTAATTCAATTTGTTAAGAGCTTTACTCAAAAATTTCAAAAGCACAATACATGATAAATTTCAATGAGAAGAGCATTCAAAAAATGCCTTGGACTTGGAGCATGTGTTGAGAAGGAAGAAAAGGTTCCTGAATCAATTAATTAATTCCATATATACAATGATTATTAAAAGATTTTATTTCTAAAAAAATTATTACATTTATTGATAAATTATTATAATAAATATTTTAATATACTGCAACAAAACCAAACAAAGTGAACATTAGCATTACCAAGAATTACAGGGTTTAAAATTTTTTTATTCTAATTCATAACTTTTTGATTATTCAATAAATTCCATACAGAATAATTGAAGTAACCAATCCAAAAATATAAGGTCATACTCAGTCTACTTTTTTTTTCATTTTTGTTGTAATTTCAAGATTTCAGTTTTAACTTGGTTTATCAAATTTGGCTCCCTTAATTTTTGAACTTTGACTTGATCATTTTGGTTTTTTTTGTTTAGCTAATTCTTGAATAAGTTTCTCTAACTTATTCTTTTGTTCTTTGATTATAAACTGAAGTTCTTCAATGATTTCTTGTTGTACATAGTTGTTTTCTTCATTTCAACTTAAATGATTGATTCGTTTTTCTAAGTTATCAATGTTATCTTCTAAACATTTTATCTTCAGTATTTAGTTGATGATGTTGATTATCTTTATTAGTTATTTCATTATCTTTTTCTTTTCTGTAACTTTCATAGTCTGTTTCTTGATTTTTATTCAATTTTTCAAGTCAGTTGTTTTCTTTCTGAAATTTTTGTTTCTTGATCTTTCATTTGGATTTCTCCTCATTCATGATTACTTCAGATAACTTATTGATACCTTTTAAGTTTTCAAATTCCTTCTTTAAATTTATTATCTTATTCTTATGATCTACTATTTCTTTTTGTAAACTTTGGTTTTTCTTTTGATAATCACTTATTTCTTGTTCAACTATTTCTTTACCTATTTCAATTGTTTGTTTTAGTTCTTTATTTTCTTTATTTTGTTGTGAATTTTCTCATCTTAATTGCAAAATTTCATTAGAGAATTCTTCCCTTTGCTGTTCATATTTGTCATTTGATAGACGAACAGAATGATATCATTCATAGTAGTCATTATCTCTTCATGGATTTTTCTTTCCTCTTCAATTTTATTTTTGAGATTTTCAATGTCTTCATGAGCTAAGTTTACATGTTCATTTGATTCATTTAATCTCTGTTTATTTTCTTGGTTTTAATCATCAAGATTTTCTACTTGTTGTTTAATTCTTTGTGATTTTTTCTTTCTCTTTCATAAAATTCAATATTAATTTTATTAATATTTATTTCATCTAGTAAAGTACTTATTGCTGCAGATAAAGTCGTTCATAAATGAGAAACTATTTTATTAACACCTTCTGGATTTATTTCTTCTTGTTCATCTAAAGCACTGAACTTATTGAAAATTTTGTTGCTTAATTCTTCAAGTCTCTTAATGTAATTAAAATCATCAGTTTCACCATTAATTTCTTCTTTAATTGCTGCAATATAACTATCAGGACAATTGTTCCACATGTTCAAAGTGCTATCTGCTGAAAATCTAATATTATCTTTCAATGTGTACTCATATTCAAGAAAATCTCTAAATTCTTTAACAACTTGAATTGTTTTCTTTTCATCTTCATTCAATTCTTCTAAATTCATAATGTTGATTTTTTAAATCAATTAATGATTTTTTGTATTAAGAATTATTCTCATATAAAAATGTAAACAAGAAACTCATTTATATCAGATCCACTATGGAATCCAAGAATTATAGTACTATTAGAAGCATCTTAAAAAAAGAACAAGGTGAGAAAATTGCACCTTACATTTTCAAAATAAATGATACTCAGACACTTGAAGCTTATCTAAGAAAAGAAAGGATTACCTATGAAATTTATCAAGAAGAAAGAAAAATAATAAATGTTGGGGAAAAGAAAGCAGGATGAGGATGTACAATTGCAAAACAAAAGACAGAAATCTCTGGGCAAAAAAGCCTAATGCAAAGTTACCATTATTTTGATTTTTTCAATAAAATTTTTAAATTCAATACCAATTATAATGTTTCATTCCAACTATAACTTTTTTTTTTGTGATTGAAACCTGATTTTTTTTTTCTTATTTTTTTTTTGCTTAAAACTTACTATATTAATAAGTAATCATGACCAAAAAAGAATGTTTTAATTGTCACAATACAAAAGAAGGCTTAATTCGCAATTCGTGATAAACGGAAAGGATCGACATACGTTTTAATATATAGTAAAATGCGGGGATAATAAACATAATAAATTACTTAGTAAAAATAATATTGAGCTGATTTTAATTTTAAAAATTTTAAAATGACTAACCATCCCAATTTAACTGTAAATCTCATTTCAATAGGCAAAATAAAGCCACATTTGCACTATGGCATAGATTCAAGAGAATGGTGGGTTATGAAGAGTAAAAGTAAACCAGAAGAAAGTGCGTTACTTTATCCAAAGGAGAGTTGGTTGGGAAATAAGTATAGAACAAAATGGCAGACAATACTATACATGTATTACTGAAGACAATGAAAATAGTAATTTATTACCAGGATATAGATGTCGTTCTGGGTGCAAGTTTAACCAATGCCATCAACAGGTTTAAATCAGTAGTTTTTTCCAAATAAAACAATAAACAAAAAAATTTTTTATATTCTATATTTAAATATATTAAAGCACATCATCATTAAAATCTATGTCTCAAATTACCAATTATTCTTTAGAACCAGGTATGGGATTGGATAAATTAAAGAAAGATGATATTAAAAAATTGTTGGATCAAAGAGACCTAAGTTATGATGAAAAAAATAATTGATCAGATTTAGTTGTACTTTTAAGAACAAACATTGAATTTGAAACAGATAATAAAATAGAAGGTAATAAAATTATTTTTCTAAACACCTAAAAACTTGGCTAATTATATGTTTTTATTATCTAGAAGCAAAGAAAAGAATGGACTTAGATGTAATAATGGATGATAAAGATGATATAGATAATTTACAATCAAAAAAAAAAAAAGAACTTATCTATTATAGAAGAACAATTTGATAATGCTGAAAAACATATAATAACAAGGTATTTGGGAAAATTTGATAAAATTCTTGTGTTGAAACCCTAATGATTTATTTATGTGTCCATTTATTTATATAGAAATTACTTCCCACTTGACTGGGCTTTGAAAGAAAATCAGGAATTTGGAAAGAAAGGTGGTGGAAATCATATGTCTGATAAAGTAGTTGAGTTATTAAAACCTTTTTTCATACAGGCGATGCATGTAAAAGTGAATGATATACACCTAAAGAAATGCTTGAAGAATTGAAAAAAAACATGGAAATAGGTAAGTTGGAAATAATTGACATTCCAAAATTAAGTACAATTGAAAATTGGATTAGTAGGTATTCCAGACAGCACAAGGTAGCAATTGCTAAAAAACGAATAAAATAACTAAATAAATAGTTTTTATTACTTTTCTCAAGTAAATCATAATAAGTGAATTTATTTTATTAGTATGTTTTTCTACCCATATCCTGAGCTGATTTTGAGTTTATGCTTTAGTAGTAAAAAATAAATGTATAGTTTCTTAACAAGAAAAAAAATTATAGATTATATATACTAATGTTTTTTATTATGCATGAGTGTGGTACTTGATAATAAGGTTTTGTGTCAGCAGGAGATAAAAGTTACGTGATAAAAATTATTTTATAAAATCAAGAAATTTTGCCCCGATCTGCATTATTACTATTATGTAATTTCTTTCCGTTTCTGCGAATTGATGAGATGAGATTGTGACACGAAATGAGCTGATCGCTGATTGTTGATACAGTTTAAAAAAATACTGACTCGTATTCTACTTTCGAATATAATGTAAAAAAATAAGGTCAATCTTCTTCTATACCTTTGTAGCTCTTTGAACTTTGGTAGAGTTTACAGTCACGCGTATCCCTACTGTCGTTAGGCCACCCCGTCCTACGTTCAGATGCTTGGAGGCAGTCTGTTGGGCATATGCGTTTAAGGTTCATGTTCCAGTATGCTGTTTTCCAGGATGCGTTTACTATACCTACTGTTGTTAGGCCACCCCGTCCTACATTCAGATGCTTGGAGGCAGTCTGTTGGGCTGTCCTTAGGCATACGTGTTTAAGGCCTTTGTTCCAGTATGCTGTTTTCCAGTATACAGTTGACTGTAAACATTACTATTTCTCTTTATTAAAAGATAAATAACTAATAATTGCACTAATTATTTTTAGATGTTTGAATCCACCATCAGGAAATTAATTTAGCATAAAATTGCATAAATCTTATGATGCCGACGTAATATTGTGTAAATCTTACAGTGCCGACGTAAGTTTTACACTTTTTTATTATTAAACTTACAATTGACATGTGTAAAATTTTTTTATATTTTCCGGATGACCATAACACAATATCTTGATAAAACAAAAAACAAAGATTGGTCGATCCTTGGAATCCTAGAATTTTCACGATTGAACTTGAAATTATCAGTTGCTACAATCAAAGATTTCAAGGAAGATCTATATGCAATATTATCTAAATATAAAGACAATTGTAATATTCATGTAAATGCCAAAAGCAAGGCAACAAAGATTTTATTGAACTTTGACTCAATGTTTTTCACCACCGAAGTTAAACTATTCGTTAAAGATCTTGAATATCATGAGGAGGCATGAGTAAATGTCACATCCACATACACAGTTACAGTTTTAAAGGTAAGGTTATGAAAATCTGAAACCAGTATTTACAATAGACCAATGAACTTACCAAAATTTTTTAGGATCAGCAAGAAAATCAAATATTTATTGATCAATTACAAGAAACATCCAATTCAGAGAAGGGAAAGGAACATGAGAAAGTTACTAGACCACTTGATGTGGAAGATGATCATTCATACAAACGTCAACATAAAGATGAAGAACTTTCAGATCCATTTGAGGTACTTGTATTCACATTGATTTTTGCAAAATAAAAAAAAACCTTCTCTTATAGGAATGTTGTGAATGCATACATAGGTTTTATTTGATGAAGAACCCTCTGTTGAATGGGAATTTGATACACCGAAACCAAGTTGGTTAGATAAAATAGCACACAAGCGTGATTCATTAATTTACAATGCTTTTAATTGTAATGATAAAAGGATTCAATATGAATTATCTTTAGAGTAAGTGTTCAATAAGCATTGATTTATTTGATAATTGTGCCTCCATGTTCTAATAAATTTTTTAGACCAATCTGGTGGAAGATCATAGATCTATCTGATTCAAAAATTACGACTATTATAACAGAATATGAATTATCAGAGATTAATGAAAAATTTTCATCTCTTCTAGAAGATTGGACCACAGTAGAACCTGCACCCGAGAGTCTCCTACAGTCTCTTGAGAAGGTAAACAATAAAAATTAATTTAAATTCTTTATTTTAAATTTATTAATGCATCTCCTTTGGTTCCCAGCTTGACAATGATCAACTTCGCACTATTGGTGAAATAGTGAGACCAAAAGGGACATACGGTGCTATTCTTGAACTTCAAAAATTATTAGAAAATAAAAAAGAGCAAAAAGCACCTGAGCTGAACAATTTATTTGGTGATGAAAAAGATTCCAATGAAATAGATAAGCATAAGGAAATCTCACCATTGACAGTTGACGATCATACGAACTCGGATGTTGCTTTCATTCTTGATTTAATTCGATTTACGTAAGTTTTAACATTTAAGTACCAAATTATATGTTTTAAAAATTCTTATGTAATAATTTCATTTAGATGTGAAATGATTGCAAAAGGGATCGCTCAGTGACCTAATTCTGAATGGGATATTGATATATTTATAAAGAGGCACATCTTTTCATGCTTCAATACTATTCTGGATAGTCATTTGTAAGTTTTTGTTATTTTTTCAATTTTTTATCATTGATAATAATGTTTACGCTTTGTTTGGTTAAGCGGAGAGGTTGTATCAAGAGCTTCCAGAAACCGCCGAGCAGATGCGATAGATGCACCAAGTAATACAGAGGGCTATCACTTGGATTGGATGTTTATGGTATAGAAGATTCTTAGAAGTTATTATCAATGTTAATACACTTATTAATTTGATTTATAGAGGCATGATTTAGGTAAAGAATTATGTTGGGGTTGAGAATTTTCTCTCTGCGAGTGTACTGGTTCAAAAATTGAAGACACTTCCAAGGTCTTTTCAAACACTCTAAAAGTACAGAAAACTTTAAGAGACATGCACCAAAATTTAATCAAAGTGATATTTGCTGAGGGTGGAGGAACACTGTCGAAACTGGTTCTTCAAGCTAGTGCAAAGCTGTTGATGCTAGTGTTGGTTTCCAAAACTAGAGAGTTTTGCAACTGTGCGAAAGTCAAAAGGTTTCACCATAAGTCGAAACTAGTTTTGATTTTTGACTATTGACTTTTGATTTAGTTTTGACATATAACTTTAATTTTAGTTTTGACTTTCATCTCTTCAAAATAGTTTTGGCGACCAACACTAGTTGATGCCTGGGTTTTTATCATCGTATTTTCTTATGCGCACAATTCTTATCATCTACATTGGAGGTGGATTCTATGCATCCATGAATTTAGCTGACTTCTATATCCCAACAAAATATCAGGAACTAGAG